GGGGGGGGGGGGGGGGGGCAGCGATAGAGAGAGGAAATGATTTGTGACACGCAGAGACGATGCCCGAGTTGCATTCCCCAGGATTTGTTACAAAATATTCTTTGGCCGACAACTGGGTGCCCCAATCCCGTTTTCTCTCCTTCCTCTTCACGGTGACTGTTATTTCCTCGAGTGTATCATGTGCGTCCGCTTGTGTGTGTGTTGCCGTGGTTGCTTGGGTCTTGTGCTGACACGGACGCGAGGCGGCCGTTTCGCTCCCTCCTCCAGACGGAGCAGAAGCTCCTTGAGGTCTTGAGGTGCGGACGGAAAGAAGCCCGCGTCTGAAGCTGCCCCCCACCCCCTGGAAGTGTCTGCCACAGAGACAAGTAGTCACAGCAGTAGGAAAGGGAAGGTCGATTGCCCGACACTCTTGTGCAGCGCGTGTCAGCTGGTGGCATTTTTGGTCTCTTCTCTGTGTGGGAAGGAAGAAAACCGAGCGAGAAGACGCCGGCAAACTTCCCTTGCCGTAGCTTGGGTGTCGTGCCTAGGCTGGGTTGACTACGTAGGTACGGTGACCGGAGGTAGAGAAAGCGAACCTTAACCTTGGTTTGACGAACGAGCCATCGCCAGCTCTGTTGTCAAGCCTTTTGTAACCTGCAATCAATGTGTTCAACAACCTTGAGGGATCTCGCTTGGTCGCCCCTTGTTTTGATTCGTAGAGCATTTGTTCGCTTTCCTCGTCACCTGTTTTCAAATGCGTCATGCATCAGAGGGGAAGAAGGGATGACGAATATTTACAACTCGGTGTACCTTGCTTCTTTGGGTTGTATCCTCACCGCTGAGGCTCGCAGCGACATGAAAGAAAGCGGAGTTGGTCATGGGCAGGGTGTTGCTGAATAGGGGAGATAGTAACGTAACGATGGCCTTCACAAACGTCGGTGGATTTATCTTATCCCTCCTGGTTGTCCGCCGTGTTTCGCCAAAGGGTCTTCGGATTCATTGCCCTCTCCTTGCTAAGGCGTTACGCATGATGGTTTATAGAGGCACGGCCGAAGCCGCCGGTGTGGTGCCTCTAAGCAGCTCCCTCTCTGGCCATTCGATGCGGTTTGGGACGAACGGCGGGCGTACTACAGGGAGGGGGCATTGCTTGGGCACAGGGGACGGGGCACAGAGGACGCGCTGCAGTTGTACCACGCTACCTTGATTTTTTCTCGTTGCTGGCTCCTTCAGCCAAGGAAAGTTTCATGTCGAACAAGCGTTTGCTGCGCTTCGTAGAGTCTTTTTGTTGTTGTGTTCGAGTGACGCTTGCATTGAATCGTGTGGGTGTTCGTTTTCGGACTGTGTTTTTTGGGGAGGAATCGTGTCCGTATTATGACGGTGGCTGAGACGCGGGGAGCTCCGGCGCTCTCGAACCACCAAGCGACACATGCCCCAAGGCGAGCGAGCGGATAGTATGCAGGACTACAGACGTCCGGTTAATGCCAATGTGGCCAGTGGCGGAGAAACACAAAGAAATTAAAGGTGACGAGTGTCGGCCGCAGCCGCGAAGCGAGCAGTAACCACAGGAGTTAGCAGTTTAGTGCATAGAGAGTGCGTGCTATTTCTTTTTCCTCGTGTGGAGTGGCTCGGTGCTGCAGGGAGGGAGTGTTGGCGTTGTATTGTATTGAGCGAAACTCTCTCGGGTGGTGAAATAAAGCAGGCCTTCGTTTAAACTATCAACTACCAACATGTAAGTTTTTGCCAACGGGCGGGGGCGATGGAAGGTCTTCCCTCGCTTGTCTGTTGTCGACATCAAGTCGGCCGCGTTGTACGTAGTTGACTGCCCTCCAGCCAACATCTCGCGAACAGGAGCACGCCTCGTACAAAGCAGACTGCAGTGGTACACTAGCGTGGTCTGATTTCTGCTACTATATTTGTTACTACACAACAAACACCCGGAAATTCCAGCGAGGCACCACCGCTACCTCTTGCGCCTCTGTGAGCAACGTGTTGGTTGACCCCAAACCGCAACAATTGATTAATAATAGCGCACCCTTCAAGCGACTCGCCGAATACCTCACGGCGCTTCGCGCTTGGGGATGTGCGAGCCTTGTCCGGTGAGCACCCGGCGTGCTCCGTCCCGGCTTCGTAGGGATGCGAGATCAAAGGTCTAACCACTAGTACGGCATGAACAACTACGAGTACCTCCCCCTCCTTGTTGCGCCGTGTCGAGACTCGCACGCACACACGTCATCCCATCCACCATCAAAAGGGGATTCGCACCGTGTACTGTTGAGTGGGACAAGGCAAGGAAGGGGAATGGATGGCGTGGGACGGGCACACAGCATCCACCCGCCTTCCCACAACCAAGATGGCCACCAAAAATTCGAGCAGATATCTTGGAAAACCGAAGATGCAAAAGTGTGTGGGGCCCGTGAAGCACCCAATTGCTACAACACACAGGACAACTCCTTTTGTGACCGTGGGCTATACGCTCGACCTTCATCTCGGACAAGATGGTCAGGCCGAGGCTTTTGTGTGGATTCTCGTGATTGAGCGGGTGCTCAGTGCACGAGTATCGGGCCTTTTATTCGAGTAGCTGTCGACTACACGCAAATCGCACAAAATCACACCGCACGGCACCGCATTTCATTGCGGCAGTCTCAGTCCCTCCACCTCAACCATAAAAGAAGAGCAGATGTAGCCCAATCGTCAGGCAACAAAGGCAAGGGCAACTAGAGCGTGAGTCCCCCTCACCTCCATCACAACCAATAGTACTCCGATTCAACCGTCAGACAATGAAGAAAAGAACATCCAGCGTCATTCCCCGTCACCTCCATCACAACCACCAACAATATAAGTGCTCCGATGCAATCGTCAGGCAAAAAGAACAAGGGCAACTAGAGCGCCCCATTGCGAGCGAGACCTGTAGTTTCAACACCACACATGAAAAAGCACGCACAACCACACGATAAAAAACAAGCATGTTACAGACAACAACCGGCCATTCTTCAACTTTCAATCTTTAATTAATCCCGAAAAATGACGCGACCGCCGCTCGCTCTGGATGGTGACATCGCCACACGACCTGGGGTATCCCACTAATCATAACCAACCCTCCTCTCAAAAGAATTGACCTCAAGGAAATTGCGGGCACCGTTTCTCTCGCATCAGCCAAACTTCATGAACGCAGCAGAACCGCTTCTTGCTGGAGACACGGAGGAAAGGCAAGCACCGCACCAAGAAGAAATCCAAAGGCCGTTGGGGGGTGGAGCGGACAGATCAGAGCCGAAATCTCTGGGTGGGGTTCAAGGTAGACACTGCTGCGAAGAAATAAGCAGCAGTAGTGGTGGTAGTACAGCACACACACGCGAAACGACAAAGAAAGGCAGGTCGATAGCCTTTCTTAACGCGTCACCCGTAACTGTAAACACGCGTCGGGGTGTCCACCGTGGAGGAGTGATCTTCGACCAGCAACAAAACAAACAAGCGACAACACCCCCCCACGCACAACACACACACACACACACATCACACGTACCAGGATAAATCGGACGACGAGGCCGAGGATCGGCAAAAGGCCAGCACACCAAGCAAGTGAAGGAGGAAAGGCGTGCAGCGTGTTCCCAACATGCCAACGGGAGGAGCAGAGAAGGCACTTTGCGGCCCAACGCAAGCATGCAGGTTCAGCTGCTGTGCTTGCCCAATATTCGTACCAGCACATGCCACTTGCATCACCATTCCTTGATAGGATATGGCAACACACGCACGTGTAGTTTCTCAACACCGAGCACACACCAGCAGGCGACACACCTCATTACACTTCGTTTTTATCGAGCGCCAAAAATTGNCCCCCCGCCCGCGCTTTGTAAATAAAACTCTGCTGACTCGCGCCCCCCCCGTTATGACGACGCCACCGCTTCCTTTTCCAACCCGTCCGCACTGCCTCCGACCGGAACTTCACAAGAATCGTCCCCGCTTGTGCTCACCGCCTTCGAGGGTTGTGCAACGCTAACGCTCGGCGTCATCTCCACCGTCTTTCCGGCGAATACCTGGTAACGGGTGTCGGTTGTGGTGGTGCAGGTTGAGGGTCATTCTGTCATTCTTGTCGAGATCGCCCGTCCTCTTTTCAGGCACACACGGAATACCAAAAAATTCATAGCCTGGTTTGGTGTGTTGTTGTTTGTGTAATGGTTTTGGAGTAAGACAAAGTGGCATCGTAACTCGCTTCGCTCGCAGACACACTTCACGGGGTTCCGGACGCGGTGCAGTGTGCGGTTACAGTGCCGTGTGACTCGCTTCGCTCGAAGGCAATTGGCGAGGTTTCGGGCGCGGTGCAGTGTGCGGTCACAGTGTTGTGTGACTCGCTTCGCTCGAAGGCACTTAACGGGGTTCCGAGCGTCGTGCAGTGTGCGTCACAGGAGTGCCGTGTTGCTCGCATGTACTCAAAGGCAGTTTGTCCGCAGCAGCGTCATGTTCCCCCTTTCGAGGAGTTCCTTATTATGTGCTTCGTCACACACCGGTGTGCCTCTCCTCTCCTTCTATTGCACAAGGTGAATAA